TAACCCTATAACCCTGTAACCCTAAATAAACCTTGAACCCTACACCCTCAACCCTAAACCCTAAACCCTAAAACCCTAGACCCTAAACCCTAAAACCCTAAACCCTAAACCCCTAAACCCGAAAAGCCCGAAACCCTAAAAACCCTAAACCCTAAACCCGAAAAGCCCTAAACCCCTAAAACCCCTAAAACCCTGAACCCTGAAGATCTCTCCCCCGCCACTGCGCCAAGCTTTGCACCGGTCGCCAGACAGTCGAACTCCTCGGCCTGCCGGGAGCTCCGTGGAGGGGAGGCCTATAAGGGTTTAGGGTTTAGGGTTTGGGGGTTTAGGGCTTTAGGGGTTGAAGGGTTCAGGGGTTTAGGGTTTAGGGGCCGGGGTTTAGGGTTTAGGGTTTAGGGTTCAGGGTTTAGGGTTTGGGTTTAGGGGCTTAGGGTTCAGGGCTTTAGGGGTTCAGAGGTTTAGGGTTGAGGGTTTAGGGATTCTTTACGAGTTCCTCCAAGGGGTTCCTGTAGGTGACTCTTGGGGATCGTTGAAGGGCTTCGGCTTTTGGGGTTTTAGCATTTGGGGTCCGGGCAGCCGGTCAGCTCGGTCCACCCGACAGGTTTAGGATTTTGAATGTCGGCTTTCAGGCTTTAAGGGTGTAGGACTTTAGGGCTTAGGGTTTAGGATAAGGTTTATGGCTCAGGGTGTAGGGTGCGGTTTTTATGGCTTAAGGTGCAAAGCTTTGCTTGAACTTCAACCCCAAGCTGAATCAAATCAGGTTGGGGCTATGCTTCAAGGCCAATGAGACGAGCCTGGAGAACATTAGCCGGATCTTCATGTTCCGGGTTACATTTAGTAGAACTATCTGGTCTTTGTAAGGGGATACTATTGGGGGCTTTAGGCTTTAGCACTCAAGGGTAACATTGGAGTTAAGAAGAACGGTCCTTCGGTGGCTTCTCGCGGCCTGACGATGCTCAGCACGGACCTGGCATACGTTTTACCTCTGCAAGGCGATATGGAAAACTGAACTCGGAGAGTCCGGTAGGAGCCAGATCAGGTTGTTTTCATCAACCCTTTCTTAATTCCTTAAACAGTTGCAGCCTCGAGTGGACAGCTTATGCCTTGGCATCCTCCGCAGCCATGTGCTTGATCAAATCGACAACTCGGCAGCTGTAGCCCCACTCCTGAGCTGCGTTTTACTTCGTGGCCCTGTACCAAGGATCCGTTGTGTTATGAACCTTCCTAAGAATATACGATACCGAAAGTGTCCCAAGAAAGCCGTAGAATCGTTATCATACCAGCAGACGACCTTGACGAAGGTAGGGTCCAGCATGATGCCAGCCTTGGAGTCGAAAGTACAAGAGATCGGGTTGGTCTCGAAATCGGTGGACACCAGTGCCTCGTCCGTGTAGCCCAGGTAGCCCTTCATGTCTCCCTCGGAGCGCTTCTTCATCTCGGCGCAGATTTCCTCGTATGTGGTCTCCTTCTCCAACTCCACGGTCAGGTCGACCACGGAGACATCGATGGTCGGCACGCGCAAAGCCATGCCGGTCAGCTTGCCCTTCACATCCGGAATGACCTTCGCCACTGCCTTTGCGGCACCTGTGGAGCTCGGAATGATGTTGCCAGG